AAGGGAAAAATAAATAAAAAAATAGCAGGATATATTATAGTAACCCACTTTGCCTTTCCATTATCTAGATTTAAAGCCCTGTATTGCTCTCACCATCTTGTTTTGACTGATGTTCCTCTATTCTGTTTTGCTTGATAGTACCAGGTTCGAAAGTTTAGGCAACAGCTGTGAAGATAGTGGGATTCATTATGATGCCCATTCTGGTTGACTCTTATCTACTTTTGAAGACCTATAATGTCTCCAATGTTTTGGTTTTGTTGGTTTTGTTCTTCACTGTTTTGTTCAATTTTATTATAACTGATGATATAGGCAATTCTATTAGAGATAGCAGAAGGCATCATGGTAACCATTGTTGATCATCTTGTATTATGCTTTTACATTATCTATTATGTCCACCCTTTTGATTTGACTGACTTTGTTCTGTTATGTCACATTTGGTTCTACTCTCTTCAAAAAAAGTAATAAGAACTGTGGGAGCAACAAAACCCAAAATGTGTAATTGTCATTGTACAAAAAAGAGGAAAAGAAAGTGCTCTAAACGATATAACTGCATGTATATTTAAGTGTATAAGATAGATAACGATATTACTGAGTTTTGTTGGATCATTGAACAGAACTGTTTGCAGTCTCACTGTTGGAATGTCCACTTTATAAGCTTTAATTTTGTAACTTGAACAATTATTTCTAAGACGACAATATGTAATCCACTAACTAGTGATTTCCTAGTTTAACTTTTTTCTGTAAACCTGTATAACTTGTACCCTTTCTCTGCTTTTTTTTTTCTTTTTCTCCTTAAATAAAATTTTTTTAAAAAGAAAATTATAGTACTCTGAAAAGGGAGATTCAAGAGGATATCAGAAAATGAGAAGATATTCCTTGTTCTTGGGTATGAAAAACCAATATAGTAGAGCTGGTCACACTTTCAAAATTGTTACACAGATTCATGCAATTCCAGTAAGATACCAATCCATACCTCACAGAATTAGAGAAAACACTTCTAAAATTCATTCAGAACTGGAAGAGACCTAAAATAGTAAAAGCAATTCTGGGCAACAAAGGTAAGGCAAGGGGCATCACAATCCCTGACTTGAAATCATACTTCAAAACTATTGTGATTTTTTTTAAAGCTGAATAACAACTGGCTAAGATTTTTTTTCCCATCCTGTGGGCTATCTTTTGACTCTGCTGGTGATTTCTTTTGTTGTCCAAAGCTTTTTAATAAGATAGAACCCAACTGTTGATCCTTGTGGATTGCCATGCAGTCAAGGTTTCATCACAACGTCTTTGCCTACTCCTTGTCTTCAAGTATTCTACGTATTGTATCTGACAGCAAATTCAGTGTTGATCGTTGATCCATTTTCACTTTAGTTAAGTGCAACGTGATAGAATGGGTCTAGGTTTAGTCCTTGGCATGTGAAAAATCAGTTTTCCAGCACCATTTATTAAAGATTTATTATCTTTCTTCCAGTAAATATGTTTAGTCCCTTTGTCAAAGATAAAATGGCTAAGTGGGTTTGGAGTTGTTTCTACATCTTCTAATCTGTTCCATTGATCCTGAGGTCAATTTTGCTGCTGGTCCCATGCTGTTTTTAACACAGTAGCTTTGTAGTATAATTTCAAGTCAGGGATTGTGAAGCCCCTGCTGTGTCTAATATCTAGAATATATAAAGAATTGAAAAATATCAGACATTTCTAAATTTAGAAAATTCAAAAATAGGCATTGAAATGATGCCCTTTTCTCAGAAGGAAAAGTAGAAATGCCAAATAAATATATGAAAAAATGTTCAATATCACTGGTCATTCAAGAGACATAAATTAAAACAACACTATGATTCCATGTCATTCCAGAAGAATGGTTATTATCAAGAAATCAATAACAAATGCTTGGAGGGTGGTAAGGGAAAAGGGACCCTTCACCACTCTTGGTGGGAGTATAGACTGATACAACCACCATAGATATCAGTATGGAGATTCCTCAAAAAACTAAAAGATTTTCCATTTGACCCAGCTATTTCCCTTCTTGGTATCTTCCTAAAAGAATTAAAAGCATCATACCACATCAATATATGTGCACTCATGTTTATAGCAGTAGTTTGTAACAGCTAAATCTCAAAAACAGCCCAAGTGCCCATCAGTTGATGAAAGAATAAAGAAGGTGGGATTTTCCTGTATAATGGAGTAAATACTCTGCCATAAAGAAGAATAAACTTTAGACAATTCTAGCTGAATGGATGCACCTTGAGACCATACTGTTAAGTGAAAGAAATTGGACACACATATTTAAATACCACATTGTTTCTCTGGTGTGAGAAATTATAAATAAGGACCAAAGTGTACAACAGATATTGGGAAATGGGAAGAAAATGTTGAAATGGACAGGGGAAAAGAGGAAAGGGAAATTAAGGAAAACAAAACAAAAAATGAGAAAAGAAGGATAAAATGGAAACAAAGCTTTGTAAATAAAGAGGGGAAGAACGTTCGAAGGGAGGGGAGGGGAATGGGAAAAAAGAAGTAAGATATACCATGTACAGACACAAATTCCTTATAACAAGCATTATTGTTATGTGTACCTGAAGTGTACCAGTGAAATTTTTTAAAAAGAATGAAACAAATGCTATGAATATAAGTAAAATGATAGTAAGAGAATACTATAGACAATATTATGCCAATTAACTCAGCAACTTAATGGGAAAGTCCCTGAAATGCAAGCAAAGGTCATTCATGAATTTTGTTAACTTAAATAACCCTATATCTAGTATAGCAATTGAATTTGTAGTTAAAAACTTTCTCATAAAATAAATTTTACTGCTTAATTCTATTGAATGCTTACAGGTTAAAAATGTCAATTTTTTTACAAACACCCAGAAAGTAAGACATATTTCTCAACCTGGCAGTAAACCTAGCTTCTTCCTGATACCAAAACCAAACAAAGACAGTATTATAAAAACCAAAGACAGAGCCAGGGATTTAGCTTAGTGGCACAAGCACCTGTCTGGAAAGCATGAGGTCACGAGTTCGATCCCCCAAACCAAAACAGAACAAACAAACAAAAAACTAAAGACAACATCCCTCGAGAACACAGATGTGAAAAGAAGCTTGCCCAAAATTTTAACAAAATGAATATGATCTATAAAAATAGATATATGACTAAGTGGAGTTCATCCCAGAAAAAGTAATTTAGTAATAATTCTAGCATTCTAAAGTTAACTAAAGTAGTTTTCATAGTAAAAAAAAAAAAAAAAAACAAAGAAAGAAGTCATCTGATTATCAAAGTACATACAGAAAAAGCTTTTGATGAATGTCAACATTGATTAAAATAAAGAATTTCAGAAAACTAAGAAGATTTCCAGCATGAGAAAAAGCACCTGTATGAAAACCTACAGCCAACATCATGTTTAATGATTAAAGACTAAATTTTTCTGCTTTTGAGCAGAAATAAGAGTAAACTAACCACTTTCATCACTTTTATTCAATATGGTACTAGCGGTTCTGAGCAACTTAATCAGATTTAAAAAAAAAGAAATAAGACACATCTAGATTGGAAAAGAATAAAATTATACTTGTAAATGAAAATCACTTACATAGAAAATTCTAGAGAATTTAAAAAACCTGATCAAATGAGTTTAGCAAAGTTGTTATAAAAAAGTTATAAACATACATATATATATTTTAAAAATAAAATGGAAAACAGCCAACAACTTCTTTTAGAAATGTACCTTTAATGTACAATTCAATGCATGATTTCACAGATCATTATAAAGTTATAGCACTCAAGATAACAAAGTATTAAGGCAACTTAATAGAAAAAAAATAATCTTAACCAAAATAATAGAGAAATTTAATATCATATTGGGGAGAAGGAAGAGGAAGAAGGAAAGAAAAAAAGGAGGGAGGGAAGGAACACGGGAAGAGTTTACCCTTACCTATCACCAAATATAAAAATTACCCGAGAATAGGTTCTACACCTAAATGTAAGAGCTAAAAGCATAAAACTCCTAGAAGAAAATACAGAGAAAAATCTTAAGTGATCTTGGGTTTTACAAAATTCATTTTTACCATCATACTTAAACCATAGAAGAAAGCCTTGATTTTATCAAAATAAAAAATGTAGGTGCTTCAAAGGACATTTATGAAAAGGAAAAGCCAAGCCACCAACTCAGAGACAACATTTGCAAAAATATACAGCCAGACATGGTAATCCTAGCACTTAGGAGGCCAAAGCAAAAAGGATCACCTTGAGTTTGGGGCCAGCCTGGGCTACACAGGGGGTCTCAGGCAACCTGGACCCATCTCAAAAAAAAAAAAAAAAAAAAAAAAAAAAAAAAAAAAAACCAAAAAATATATATTCTAATATATCATATATAAAAGCTCTTGTATATAACATATGTACTTTTACAACCCTATAAAAAGACAGCAACCCAATTTTTAAAGTGGGAAAAAGATTTGAGCAGCTAAGTTACAAAAAAAAAGAGAGAGAGGTAGCAAATAAACACATAAAAAGAGCCCTAATCCCTTAATCACTATAAAAGTAAAGAAAATAACCACTAAATATCCATCTATATGGCTAAAGTAAAGTGCAGACAAAGACTGATGACAACAGAAAGCTGCAGAAATGCTCATAAATCACAGGTGTGCCTACAAACGTTACAATCGCTGTGGAAATCATTTGGAAGTTGCTTTAAAAATCAAACATAATGTAACTTTGATATCACTCTTGTAAGTATTTGCCAAAGAGAACCAGAAGCACATGTCTACAAAAAGACATACACACAAATTCTTACTAATTTTTTTGAGAATAGCCAAAAACTGAGAACTGCCCAAATGTTCTTCAACATGTGAATAGATAAATTGCAGTGTATTCACTCTGAAGATCCCTGAATTTATATTTTCATTCCTTCCAGAACGACGCACTTTGTGACCTTTATAATAAAGAGAAATCTAGAAAAGAAAGATCGTTGCCTCCTTTGCTCAAAACCTAAAAGCCAAGAAGGAATACTTACTGGCAGCTGTAGGTCTTCTGTTTTTTTCTTTTTCTTTGACAATCTCCTATCTTTCAAGAGCATTCTTGCTTTGATCCATGATGATCCTATCTCTGAGGGTCTTGAAAAACCTGTAAGGGAAATGGTTTATGTGAAAAAGTTTCAAGCCTACAGGGACCAGCTGTATTTCACCCAAAGAGCCAAGAGACCAGAAAGAATAACAGTACAGTCCAGAATCCAAGTGTGCTTTTTTTTAACTGTAGTGACACTAAGGATTTAAAACTATTTTTTAAAACATGTCTGCCTTACTTTTAATCTTATCGATCTTCATCAGTTTCTCCTTCTTGTGGAATCTGAAACTGTGACTCCTGGTGAAGGGCCTGTTCCTGTGGAGAGGGTTGATCCAGAAGGATCTACCTGGCTGGAGCCATGGAGGCATCATCTCTGACCAGTCACTACTTTGGTACAGGCTTGTTGAGTTCTCAGACAAACAGCTGCCTTGAGCCTCCCTAGGATACAGCATGCTCTGAATGGAGTCTCTGCTACCAGAGGAAGGCAAGCAGGCCTGGCACTTGCTTTTGAAGCTGAACACACCGGTTTCATCACCTTCCGAAAATGCCAAGTTCACATACCCATCTCCAGAATGCATGCTCTTTGGCTGGGAAGAGACAGAGGTCACTGTCGTGCGTACAGGTGCACCAATTGCAGTGGACTGAACCTGCTCCTCTTCGTCTGGCTTGTCTGGCATCTCAGCAACTGGCTCCTGCAGCTTTTTGGGTTCAGTCACTGACAACTGGCCAGAGGCAGCTGGGGTCTGCCTGGTCAGAGAAACAGGGACCCCATTCTGCAGGGTTTGTTCATTTTCTAGGACATCTGTGTCTGCTTTCACTGATACTTTGGACAGAGGCAAGGAAGCTTCTTCGTAAGAAGGAACTTGCTTTAGATCAGAAGGAACCAGGAGAAACTGGCCATATTTTGAATTTGCATGCCTACTTGGGGACAGCCCAGGAGCAACTGTGTGCTTTTCTGCTTCTTGTTCCTCCAAGTCATCTCTTACATTGGAGGCGTCTGTCTGACTATCCATAATCTCAACAAGGGCTCCCCTCTGCATCCTCGAGGGCAACTGGCTCCTAGCCAGGCTCCGTAGCAAAGACGGGGGCATACTGTAATATCGGTATTTCATCTCTCCAGCCATCTCTGTGCTGTCCGAGAGCTCTGTACAAATGACATTGTTCCAGCTGTGGGGAATTTTTCTGCCAGCCACACGCTTCCTGTTGGCCAGAAGACCCTCATCCTCTTGCAATGTGTCCACTGCAGAAAGCACCTTTAGAGTATCCACAGTAAAGGCGGAGAGGTCCTGCAGGTGCCCCACTTGGCTGTCCAGAGACAGTAGGGAATCCTTTACAAAAGACACCTTTTCATTCATTTCTTTCAGTTGGAAATACATTTCTGCAACCCTAATGAGAGAAAACCAATGAACACAATCAGCCAGTGATGGTTTTTCTTCCTCTCCCCCTACCCCACTGCCAGGGTCAGGTGATTTCCGAGCCTTAGCTCCTTCCCAAAGGCTGCCTCCTCTCTGCGCTACAGTATATATTCTATTCCACATGATCACATCTACTCCTACATTCCCACCGTGACTCCAGGGAGGAGAAGTTACAAATGTGCAATGCTACCCCTTATTTCCTTCTAATATTTCAGAACCACATGTGCATCTGCCTGAGACTAATCCCCTTTCAATTATTTGACAAATCATCCCATTTTTATTCACTAATGTGCTTGTTCATTAACATGAGAAAAAAAAACCCTGAGTATCTGCTATTAGCAAACACTGTACATTTTTGATGAGAAGAAACATTCTGAGAAAGAAAACAAAGTAACAGGAATAAAAAAAAAAAAACCAGCTCCATAGTTCAAACAGGCTTCTCAAGTTCCAAACAAAACCTTCACTAGGAGTCATATTCAGAAAAAAAAAAAAAAAAAAAAAAAAAAACAGTGTTAATTTGTTTGATTACTTTGAATATTTTAATCCAAGATTATGATTCCCAGGCACAGAGTCATGCAAAAGCAATACAACACATCTTCATTTATGTAAGTACAAAAGCAAACTACATGTATAACAGAGTAACTGCAATAAATTCATTCAGAAAAGAGAGGGAAAAATTGCCGCTTAACATTTACCAATATTATTTGATGCTCCCATCTCACCACACCACTAAAACAAAATGTTGACATCTTAATCCCACATGTGGCCTTTATCTGGAAATTTTTTTTATTTTTACTTTTATTAGTGCATGCTGACAATATAGAATTACTTTCAGCATAGGGATTTGATACACATATGAAACACATCTTAATTAGTTTTACATCACCTTCCCTCTATTCTCTCCCTCACCGTCTCCTGGTGCCTGTTATGGTTTGAGTCTGGGTGTCCCCCCAAAACCTCATGCAGTCATGGGGCAGGGGGCTTTTCAGAGGTCATGGAGTCTAGAGTTTGTGATTATTCAGCGAGTGGGTGCTTTGGCTCCCTCTGGGATGAGCAGCCTGCATATAACATAAGAGATCAAAAGAGGCTCATCCCTCCCCTTTTGCTCTTGTAGCTTTTGCTGTCTTCTGCTACCATGAACTGTTGCCCCTCTGCCATGACCCACTCTGCCTTGGAGCCATCTAATCACGGACTGAAACCTCTACACACTGTGAGCTGAATAAACTTTACCTCTTTAAATTTTGGGTGTCAAATATTTTGTCCCAGCAACAAGAAAAGTAACTAAGACAGAAAATAACTAACACAGTGTCCTTTGCATATGCAAAAGAGCTATCTCCCTTTTTCCATTATCTATTTTTTATTTCACTCTTTATTTATATTTTGAATTTCTCATATAAGAGAAACCATGCAGAAGACCAAAAAATAGCAGAGTAGGTATCAGCAACAAAATTTAGCCTGCCCAAGATCCAGAATCCAGACAACTAGGAAAATAATAACTTGGTGGAGATAAAAAGAAAAAAGAAATAGACTAACAGGAATTAGGAAGGAACCGACTGGAAAATTAGAAACCACAGAGAAGCAGCCAACACTACACTACAATGCAGAGAAAAGAACAAAGTAACCTGAAAGCTCACTCTGGCTCACAGTTACAGAAAGCTGCCTCCAGGGGCACAAGGTAAGTACTTAGGACTGACCGCTCCCAGGAGAGACAGTGGACCAGACCCCAGGAGGAACCTACAGTGATCATAAACTGCAAAAGCAGTGAAGGGTTTTACGTCAGTGTAACTCCTTCCATATGGTAGGCAACAGCCTGAAAGAATCTAGTGTGATGCCCAACATCCTGCACTTAATCAGGTATTTCAGGGGTTGATATTTGAGTCTGGGACTCAGAACAACTGAAAAACAACTTCACTTCAGGGTTCCCAGGGTAGCCCTCCCACAGTGACTGACTGAAAGAACCACAGGAGACAGTCAAGGGCTGGGAGCAGGGTAGAAAGAGACTCTTTGAGAAGTTTAAACTCAGACTAAGAGGGACACAGGCCCTACACTCCCTGGAAGATTCCAGGTGAGGCTTGTGTTTTGTGCAGAAGCAACTGAGTGTGAAAATGCCAGCACCTGAACCTTTGCCCTGCTGTCTGCATCAAGCCCAGCTCTGAGACCTGATCAGGTTCTCCACCTACCAAACTGAGCATGGGCACACCTCGGCTTGGAAGACTCCACAGTGTGGCGTGAAGGGAGAGTGGCCTCAGGAGCATCAGGCAACTCACTAATCCCAGGCAGTAAAACTAGGCAGAGGAGCACCATGTGCTGATTCCAAACCTGTGGATCCTGTTTAAATGTTAAGAAACCATGTACTTAAAACTAAAGAGAGAGAAAAAGAACTGTTTCTTTGCTTGAACTTTTTTTCCTTCTTTTTTTTTTTCACTAGTTTATTGGGATTTGAAGAATTTCCTTTTCCCTTTTTTTTCTGATTTCTTTTTCTTTTTTCCTTTTTCTTTCTTTATTCCTTTAAATTTTTCCTGTAAATGTTATCTTTTTATGCTCCATATTTTTTTTCTCCTTTTTTAATTTTATCTCCTTTTTCTTGTTTGTCCTTCTTGGTTACCTTCATCTAATTCTATAAATTTCTGTCTACTCCTCCATAGGATCTATTGTCTCAGCTTTTCTTGTCTCCCATTATGTAGGTTTTCTAAAATTTTCTTTCATTCCCACCCCCAATGTTATATATGTTTATTAGCACTACTATTAAGCTCTACTAATCTTTACATAGTTGGTTAACTATGTGTTATAACTGTTACTGTCAACAGGCATAGTCACGTTGGCAATATCTGGTTTGTCAGTCTCCCATTTGTCTTGGATGATGCTGTATTGCTGATTGTTACTGCCAAGGTCACACAGGCATTGCTTCTAATAGGTTTTCTCTGCATGCCAATAATCAGATTTTGTGCCATTAACGATACTGCAATGCCTTTCCACAGAAATGGGTGCTGGGCCATTTGTGCTACACCCTCCCCAATGCAGGTGGTCAGATCTTGGGACAGAAGCAAAGAACTACAGTTAGCCAAGCCCAGAGTAAATTACTAAAGAGCAGAACCTAATAAAGAGCTCCATACTAAGCAACAAAGTCTTTTGACTGTAAGCACCCACAAACCTCAACACAAAGCAAAGCAAAACAAAAATGAGGCAAACCAAAGCAATGATGTCTCCCAAGTCGGGCATGGTAGTGCACACCTGCAATCCCAGCACTTGGGAGACTGAGGATCACTGCCGAGGTGATGCCAGCCTGAGCCACCCTAGTGAGTTCAAGGCCAGCCTATACACATGGTGAGAGCCTGTCCACACACACACACACACACACACCTCCCAAAACTCCCACCTCCTCCAAAGCCAATGCATGGGCCACTGAAGGGGAGAAAAGCAAAAGCCACACAGCTGAATTATTTGAAAAAATAACAAAGGAGATTAAAAAACAAATCCATAAGATATTCAGCAGGAGTACACTTAAACAGGAGATATAATTAAACAGATAACAGATGTAACAAAAAATGATCAGAGAGTTTATAGAAGACACTAATAAAAAGATAGTCGAGCTAAACAAGCAATACAAAACATAAATAATCATGTTAGCAAACAATGAGTCCATGACATGATTCCAAACAGAAATCAAATAGATTAAAAATTACACTGAAAGCGCAGGCAGGAGAAGCAGCCAATGCAAAAATAAGAGTACCGAGATCAGACTGCTATTAGCAGTCATTCAGAGACACCCTAAAACAAGGAACATAGAACATGCGTATAACAGGTGCTAGACGACATGAAGACTGAGCTAAGATTAACCGAAATAAGTGAAAAATCCGAAGACAGCAAAAAAGGCATAAAAAACCTGTTTACAGAAACAGTAGCAGAAAACTTTCCAAATATAGGGAATCAACAAAAACAAAAACAAAAAAATGAACAAGGGAGGACCCTTTCCTAGGAAAAACAGAGTGGATGTGGTTCCACCAGCACCTTGATGGGGGACTTCTAGCTTCCAAAAATATGAGAAATACACTTATTCTGATGTAAAACACTCCATTTTTGGTACTTTCCTAGGGCAGCCCTAGGAAATTAATACAGTTATGTACACTTAACAATCAACAAAATAAATTACAAGATAAATCAGACTTTATTACATAGAAAAGACGTATATGGTACAAACTTTTTAAATAAAAATGAATTGAAAATTAATACTTTGAAAATTTCAGTTCTGGACTTCTGGGAGAACATGGCGGACAAGTAACAGCAGACACAGAGGCTCTCTGAGATTACTAGCTTAGAATCCAGGAGCGCTGCCATGTGAGGAGTCCTACGCGAGGGGAGATGAACCCTGCCGACCCAGGAACGAATTAAGCTGAGAAAAACCAACTGGAAATGCAATCCTGATGCTATAACAGGAACAGATAAAATCCCAGCACGGAAGCTGGATGCCATGCCACTGGAAGCCGTGATTTGAATTTCCTGCTGCCACTACTGCGTCCCAATTGGCACCGCAGGGAAACACACGTGCAAAAGCTCTGAGAGCGGGAACCAAACGACATTGAGAGCGGGACTGGCAGGGAGCCTTGCATCGACCTGCGGTGAGTGAGAGAAATGGGGACCCTTTCATAGACTAGGAGGCTCCAACAGAGGACATTCTGGGAATGGGCAGACTAGCTGGAACAGGGCCCTGCAGTGACTTTAGTCACATATTCCCCTCTCAAGCGGGATTGGTGGGGAGCGCTTGGCCTGGTGACACCTCGGACTAAGATCCAGTAGGCTAGCCCAAATCAGGTCCCTGTGCCTGGCGGTGCACCCTAGCAGTGATGCCTTCAGTAGGCTGATCTGGAGGGATGGGCCCAGCAGAGGCTGCCCAGGTCTGTGTCTCCCTAGTACACTGCAGTGCGTGGAAACACCTAGCCGGCGGATTCAAACACCCTGTAACAGACAAAAAGA